ACAATCTCGATCAATATCACACTGATTCGTATGAAACAACTACCATTCGATTCCTCGCGACTAAATGAATCCAATGAGCTAATATTCATTGATATTGGATCATCCCATCTCGAGATATTTGTGATTGTATTTCTAAATCCAGACTCCTTTATTTAAAGTAGAATTTATTGATTTATAATTTCAGCCGATAATACAATTTCGAGTATTTCGTGATTGGATGATCCAAAATCAATGAATGTTGGCTCATTGGATTCTCTAGTTTTGAGAAATCAAATGGTAGTTGTTTCATATGAATCAGAGCGATATTGACTGATATTGTACATCTTTTATTTTTTGTTTTTTTCTAAATATAAAAAATCATGTGATATGATATCATTTCGACTATTTTGCGACTTTAGCCTCCAATGGTCGAAATAATTTTGACCATTTTAATCAAAACTCTCTCTCTCCCTCATTGGATTTTATCCAAGAATTTTTACTTTAAAAAAGTGCCTGTTTAAAGACGGCTGCAGCTTAGCCTGCAAACAAAATAAAAACACCTCTTTTCAAAATTTTACTCTTTTTATTTTCCAACTCCTATCCACATAAAATTGCCGTTGAAGTCTAAGCTGTGTTGTTTTTTGTTAAAATATTTTTCTTTACCTCTTTTCGGTATATTTTTTCTCGTTTTTTCGTTTTCAAAAATAATTGCCTACAAAAGTGGGCATCAAGGGGTATCCTAACCAACGATCACAATCAACATACTTTGGATACACAAATCTGCATGATGACATCCCTATTTCTTCATAAACGACAACACTCTTTTTTGCAGATCTCTAACGTCGAAGACTGCAGAATCCCACGCAGTATTTTCCAGAATTGACCGACTGTGTGATTTGGGTCTCATCCTGTGCTGGGGATCAGCTGTAATCTGAATTAACAGATATCTTAGCATTGGAAGTGATAGTCTGAAAAGCCTCTATTGAAACTTAGTGATATAGATGTACCTGTGCCGGGTGGTTGCTGTAATCTGGAATTGACTGGACAACTTAGCTAAGAACTTAGTAGAGTCCCCTTATGTTGCTTCTTTTTGTAAATTCTTTAGCGTAGATGGTTGGGTTTCATAGTTACTTCTTCAAAAAATATGTCACTATTAGTTGAAGGGTTATATTTTTGTTTTTGTTTTTCGGGAATTTACTTTAGAAAGGAGATAATAAAGTAGTATTGACCATAGTTTATTTTCATTCTCTGTTGAAGATAGTAGTCATTATGCATGCATGTAATGAGTCTATTGGAGGGGGGTGGTGATGCTCGATCGACTCAAACAGATTTGCAATATAGTTACAGAGGGTAGTTAGTCATTTGTTTGTTAGTTTTTGATTTTACTATTATTGTATTTTTGTATAAATTAATAAAATGTACTAACAGTACCGCATCGTTAAAACATAAAATAAAAAAATAAAAAAAATGATTTTGATCATTTTGACCATTTCGGATATCCGAAATGATCCATTTTGACTTCATGTATAGTCCCAAGTTAGAATCAGACCAAAGGGTACATTTATAAAGAGTGTGTATTTATGGAGTGTGCAATTATAAAGGGTTGACTGTAATAATTTAATTATTAATTAATCATTTATTAGCTTAATCAAAAAAATATTAAATTTTTCTAATTGAAATAATCTAATTATTTTAATTAAATAATAAAAATTATCCTAAGAATAATAAAATTATCTAAAAGAATGATTTTAAAAATTATTAAATAGAATAATAATAATTATTTTATGAGAAACATAAAATTATTATATTAAAATAAAATTAAATTTTAATTAAAATAAATATTTTTAAAATAATGATTAGGGTTTTATAATTCAATTTGATATTTAAATATTAATTTGAAAATCAAATTAAATACAAGTTCAAATTTATATTTGATTTAATTCAATCAAATTCAAATCAAATATTCAAATATTTTATTTGATTTAAATTAATAGTAAAGTTATTTTCAAAGCTTTAGGAATGATTTTACTAAGTAAAAATATCTTTATGATATTGAAAATGCTTTTATATTAAGATAAATATAGTAAAAATATCTTTACAGTTTTGGAGATGTTATTTTACTAAGTAAATATAGTAAAAAATATTTCTGTGATTTTAAAGATATTTTTTATTAAGAAAATATAATAAAAATACCTTTGTAGCTTTAGAAATATTTTTTACTAAGAAAACATAGTAAAATGCTTTCACAGCTTTTAAAGATATTAAAGATATTTTTTTATTAAAAAAATATAATAAGAAATGTTTTTGCAGTTTCAGAAATGTTTTTTATTAAAAAACTATAGTAAAAAATATATCAATAGTATTAAAAATATTTTTTATTAAAAAACTATATTAAAAAATGCCTTTGTGAATTCAGAGATATTTTTTTTACTAAGAAACAATAGTAAAATACTTATGTAACTTTAAAGGTATTTTTATTAAGCAATTATAGTTAAAAATACCTTTATATTTTTAGAGACATTTTTTTATTAAGAAAACTAGTAAAAATATATCTGCAACTTTAGAGATGATTTTTACTTAAAATAATTAGTAAAAAATGATACTGCAATTTAAAAAATGCTTTTTATTAATAAAATGGATCTAAAGTTACAATAGTGATTATTACTAATTTTTTTAGTAAAACTAAGCCTACAGTAATATTTTTCAAGTTTTCTTAGTAAAACTGAAGTCATAATATTATTTTATCAAGTTTCTTAATAAAAATTTATCTGTTACTAAACTTATTTTATAAAAGCTATTTTTAAAATTTTTTAGTATTATTACTAATGATTTTCTTAATTAAATCTATAGAATAACTTTATTTTAATATAAATTAAAAAATTTTTTATATTTGATTTAATTCAATCAAATATTTTGATTTGATTTAATTTAAAAGTTTTCAAATAATAGAAATCATTTATTTTAAATAATAAAGATCATTTCAAAAATAATATAAAATAATTTTCTTTAAATAATAAATCATTTATTTAAAATTAATAAATTAGAATAATAAGTTATTATTCTTTAAAATTATAATAAATTATTTATAATAATAATAATATAATTAATAAAATTAAAGATTAATTTGAAATTTTCATTCATTTTAAAATATTTCAATTCAATTATTAAAGTTTTATATATTAATTCTATTTTTTTAATAATTTTAATTATACAGCTTAAAATATATTATTGTACTAAAAGATAATTTATAAAGTTATATACCAATTTATATTAATGATTAAAAATTAAGCAATTTATTAAAAAAATTAATATTTTATATATGTATATAAATTAATTATTAAAATAAAATTATTATTACTTTAGAATTAATATAATTTATTTTATAATAGTATTTTTATATATTTATATAATTATTATTTTATGAGAATTTAAAAATAAAGATTTTAATTATTTAAAACTTTTAAAAAATCTATTTTAAGTAAAATTCATATTAATAAAATCTACTGTTCTTTAAAGTTTAATTTATCTAAAATTATTGCAAAAGCTTTTAAAGCCTTTCTTTTTCTATTGGTAAATTTCTTACTTAACCTATAAGCTTTTAAAACTCTTATATTTAAAGCAACCAATTTTATCTTCTGAAATATCATAATCCTAAGCAAATTCCTTATTTTTTTAGGTTTTTGCTTCTGAGAGTTTTTCAAATAAATCTCTCTTTTAACTGAATTTTTTTTTTTGCTTTGGATTTTAATAATATTTTAAAACTAAGATATAATAAAAACTTAATTAAATATGCTTTGTTTACTTCCCTGATTCGTGATGTATAATAGTAAAATTTATTTAAAAAATACGGTTAATCCAATAAAATAATTCGCTATAAATCACTTTGACTGTGATAATGACTTTTTTTGTAATTTCATTCATAATCTTTATCAATAAGTAAATAGATATATGAAATACAAACAAATTTAAGAGAACTATTGTAGAGCATATCTCTCAAATGTGATTGGCTAGTGGTTGAAGCTTTTCGATGTAAATGGAGATCACAGCTCTCTTTATCTTTCTATCCATTTCAATTTTCAATAAAAATAACAAAAATAGCTCGCAGAACTTTAGCTCAAACCCTTTTACCACTTACAAGTGATTTTTCGTTGCAACCTTTTAATTGAGACAGCAGCAATTATAAAGGATCATCATTTAATATTTTTGTAATTTTTTTAAATGATAATAATTTAAAAATTCAAAAATTTTTTAAATAACTTTCTCACAAAAAGAATAAATGAAATAGTTGTGGATATTGTGAAAAAGCATTAAAAGATGATAAATGTGGTTATTTTTTTTGCATTTGAACATTCTGACGCCTTTTATTTGCTCTATTACAAAAAGAAGTATTTTGATCCCCGTTGAAAATCTGTAGTGTTCTTTTTATATTCCATCAATGAAAAATTCTAGCCAATCAGCACAGAAAAAAAGACGTGCTTAACATTTTTAAACCCATTGAAGGAAATGCCCGTAATCATTTTAACAAATATTTTGGTACTTAATTGTCTAATTATGAATGTTGTCATTGACATCTTGGCAAAATATTTCACGATAATATACAGTATATATATAATTATTGGTTTTATTTCTTTTGTGAAAGGTTGTTTAATGAATTTTCTTAAAAAAAAAAATTTCATCTCATTTATAAAATTTTCTTTTTTTTATGAAAAAAGTATGTAGAGAAAATGTACAATGGAAGAAAATTTAAAAGTACTCCTCCCAAATTCATTAAATAATTTTTTTTTCCTTTTTTTTTTTTTTTTTTTTTTTTTTTTTTTTAAAAAAAAAAAAAATGAATTTCTTTAAAATTAATGGATGATTATTTTGGATTGTTGAAATGTACAAATTGTATGATTTTTTAATATAGACAAAAAAAAAAAACTGACTCGTTAAAATTAAAAAATTCTATAAGAGACTAATAAAAATAGAATAAATGTTCATTTAAAACTAAACTTAATTTTAACCCAATTAAAAAATCCAATTTATTTTTTTAGTGATCCAAATCCCTAGGATTTCACAAAAATAAGAAAAAAAATAATATCGTTAGAAATAAAAATTAAACGAAATAATGATAATAATAATGTAACTTACAAGATCTTCGATAAAATTACTTATACCAACTTCATTTTTCTTTGGGAACAACGATTTAATATCAAACTCATTTATTTTTTGTTCACAATTTTGTTCCCCCTAATCAAAAAAAATAAATTAATTAATTTCCAAGGATCAAATTAATTGTAATCATATTTTTAAAACTTACCACGTCATTCTTTAAAACGCTCACATATCCCTTTACAATTTTTTCTATTTCCCGATCATTATCCAAAGCTTTAAGAAGAGTTGTAATATCCCGAAAATCAAGCCCAGCACTATATAATAATTGTCCTGTAAACGAATAAGCCATTGGTGCATCTGCACCAATATCCATTAAAAATACTAATGATCCTTTAAAACCATCTTTGAAATTACTATTATCGCAAGTTTTGGATGATATAATTTCTTTGAATAAATTTATTACATTGTCCACCTCTGGCTGCTTTTTCTCAATTACTTTGTTTGTAATTTCCTCTATTGCTTTTGCATGAAATTCTATCGGAATCTCCTTGAGACAAGCGAGGACCTCCTGAAAAATGAAATTATCGTATTAATAACTGGTTTCAATGTTGAGATTTACAAAATAATTAATAGTTGAAGATATATATACGTAATAGTTATTTTACGGAGAGCCGTAGATATCATGCAATAATCACAATTCTGGCGTGATGATAAATGATATTAGGCTGACCATGAAATAACTGTATATATATCATTAGTGGTTCAAACTCCTATCGTGAATTTGTCAAAAAAAAACTTTTTTCACGGGAGATTAATTATAAACTTTATTATTTCACTTACTTGAATATCCAAAACTGAAAAGTACTCCGCAATCATACTATCTATCTTCTTTATTGCCACTTCTTCTGGCATCGTTTGTACTGATGATACCGCCTCTGCAGACTTGGATGCAGTTGATTTGACAGCAGGCTGTGACTCTTCGGGTGTAGTACCGACTGTGCGTGGCAATAATTTTAATCTTTGACGTTCCATTGGTGGAGTGGATTTTTGAGGTTCTGAAGTTGAAAATTCTGAGCTCTTCCTTCCCTCAGAGCTCTCTAATACACTGAACATGTTTGATGTCGAATTCGTTCGATTTAGACCTGCAGACTTGTCTTCCCGATCTTTATTATCACTCTTGCTCCTAGAAAAATTTCCGAGATTACCTCCTGGTGCTAAACTTACGCTACTAGTGATTTTACCACTACTACGAATAGATCCGAATTTAGTAAGGTCGCCGACTTTATTATTTCTCTGTGAACTTCCGCCAACGTTAATCCACCCATCGTTTCCAGGTGCTGATCCGTGAGATGACATTCCTTTGTCCGATCGGTGGTCACGACGACCTGAACCACCACGCGACATTTGCTCTCCCATTTTAGGCATGCCTGAAATAAATTTTATATCGTAAATATTATCCATTTAAACAAATAGATGTCTCTTTATATTATAATTTAAAATAAGTTACCTCTACCACCAGAGCTAGCTGTTCGTCTTAGGAAATCGGCTTCCTCTTTTTGTTTTGCAGCCTAAACAATTAATACATTATTAATAAAAAGATTTACTTAATTCACGTTAAAAGGTTTACTATTTATAATAGTATAATTACATCTTCATGGATTTCTGCAATTGTCTTTGGAGCATTAATGTCTCTACGAGGTTTCCAAGAATTACTTCGTAGATCGATGACATCCTAAAAGAATAATTAGAATTATTAGTAAAGAAAATATTTTTACGAAATAATTGATAAAACCTACCATTAACATGAATTTTATGCGACTAGTCATATTTGGGTTCTTCGATATATCTTCCATGCGATTAAAATAACTGTCCATAGCTTGTTTTGCTTTTGTATCATCAAGTTGAGTGGTTTTTCCATGATCTGGTTGGTTTGTTCTGCCATTGGCATGATCAAGTTGTTCACCTACGGTATTCATTAGTTTACATAAACTTTCCATTTCTTCTTCTTCGGGTATTCCTTGAAACGTTAATAACTTCTTTATACATTCGTGCATAATACGCTCGGTAAGCATATTTAGTTTAAATAATTCACCGATGAAACGTATTAAACCTAGACCATGTCTTTTGGCTTTCGCAGCTGCATAATATTCATCTGACATGAGATCTGGTTCTCCCTTTTCATTGGCAGGTACCGGAACATTAACTTTCCAACCTTTCTCAAAATCTTCCTGACAACGATTAAGAAGATATTTCCTAAATAACGTTCCACCTTGAACAAATTTACCCTCAGTATTTTTGACATTTTCATCCACAATTACAGGATCAACCCTCTCCATCATTTTACGGCAAAGTTGAGCGTACATTGCACAGAAGTTCGGTTCATCACAAGATTTCTCAAATATAAGGCGAATTACTTCCTTTAATATCCGTCCATCTCTTTCATCCCTCGATTTATTAGCATAATCAATAATTTGATCAGATATAGAATCAAATTTTTCCAACGTCAATTTATTCAAAAGCGCCTTAACTTTGCGTTGAACTACTTCCATAGGAATGAAATCTTCATTTGCTTTAGGAATATTATCTAAAACTGAACCAGGAACCCATCGATTCTCTGTACGTTCAAGAGGTACAACCTGCTCATGTCCGAAATTTTGTCCTTGAAATTGATGTCCCCCTTTACCACCACTTCTTCGTCCACCATCTCTTCGTCCACTAGACGCGCGACCTGGACTTGGTGGTGAAGCTGTCATCGCTGGAGGTGGTAATAATGTACTTCCACTTCCAGTACGACCAAGTGGATTTCGTGCAAAATTACCCGAAACAGATGTTGTTCCAAACTTCATTGATGAAGCAAGGAATCTTTCCTCGCTTGTCTTTGGTAGTTTGAATTCTCCCATTTGAGTAAATTGAGATTGATTTGGACTATTCTTATGCGCTATTCTTGCATTCTGAGGTCGAGAACTTTGTCTACTGCCCTTTTTGTCATCTTTAGTTTCTTCCAAACCAATAGCTTCTAATGCGGGCAAATGTTCTGGCTTTTCTTTACAAACGTCCATGAATTGCATAAGGAAAATGCGATCATATTTGAATTTTCCTGGCTCGGCGTCAGAATTTAATTTTGGATCTGGTGATTTAATGTGCGGAGGGTATGATACAGTAGTTAAGTCATCAATTAAACGAGCACTACCAAGTGCACTTAGTGGGGCACTGGGAATTGCAGGTGCAGATGTAGTACGTGACAAATCCAATGGACCTGGGCGATTCCCTTTGCCGAACTTCTTTTCTTCTTTTTTAACCTTATCAGTTGAATCAACCTCGATTGTATTTACTTTAGCACATTCCTCTTCTTGTCTTTCCTTTTCCTCAATCACCTTACGAATTTTCTCATCTGCTTCTTTACGTTCCCTTTCTGCCTTCTCTTTAGCTAAGCGTTGTTCTTCTTTCTTTTTCTCTGCTTCTTGTCTTTCTTTTTCTTCTTGTTCTTTACGAGCTTTTTCATCCGCTTCTTTACGTTCCCTTTCTTCCTTCTCCTTTGCTAAACGTTCTTCTTCTTTCTTTCTCTCTGCTTCTTGTCTTTCCTTTTCTTCTTGCTCCTTACGAGCTTTCTCTTCTGCTTCTTTACGTTCTTTTTCAACCTTTTCTCTTGCTAAACGTTCTTGTTCTTCTTTTTTCTTTCTCTCTGCTTCTTGCCTTTCTTTTTCCTCTAGTTCCTTACGAGCTTTCTCTTCTGCTTCTTTACGTTCTTTCTCTTCCTTTTCCCTTGCTAAACGCTCTAGTTCTTTTTTCTTTAACTCGGCTTCTTGTCTTTCTTTTTCCTCTAGTTCCTTACGAGCTTTTTCTTCCGCTTCTATACGTTCCCTTTCTTCCTTCTCTTTTGCTAAACGTTCCTCTTCTTTCTTTCTTTCTACTTCTTGTCTTTCTTGCTCTTTACGAGCTTTCTCTTCTGCTTCTTTGCGTTCTTTTTCTTCCTTTTCTCTTGCTAAACGATCCTGTTCTTCACGTTCTTTCCTTTCATATTCTTCACGCTCTTTGCGTTCTTTTTCTGCAGGGTCAACAATCTTAATGGCCTTGGATATGCCTTTATCTTCGGAATTAGCTCTTTCCTTATCAGTTTCTTCGAGTTTATTGTCAACCAAGACAGAGGGAATTTCTTCTTTTTTGAAATTTGGACTCTTGGATAACTGTTGTTGTGGTGTTTTAATCGCGACACCCCTATTAGGATCAACAATAGGAATAGCTTTACTTTTTTGTAGATTTTGCTGTGCTGTTAAATAACTAACAGCTGTAACTGGAACTTGAACTTGAGGAATATGAGCCTGTGTCATTGGCGGGCGAACTGGAGCGTATTGTGCCATGTATAAATGAGGGGGAGGATGAGGATGGGAATATTGTGGATAATATAGATATTCCTAAAAGTTAAAAACACGAATGTAAAAATAGTTATTTAAAAAAATAAAAAGGTAATACTTTTTTTCAAAGAAAAAAGAGGCTTCTCTTAATGTATATAATTTATATATATATATAAAATAAAGAAAACTCACTCCTCGATTATAAGGCCAAGGCATAGACATTTGCATCGAACCAGGTGCCATAGGTATTGAACCTTGTGGAACTTGTTGCTGTGCAGGATTTATATGTGAAGATGGTGGGATATGTTTATCTCTTGACCTTGAAGTGTATTGTCCCGTAATATTTTGACCGGGACCTGGCACCATAGGTTTATGATGTGGATGCTGTTGTCGAGGATAATGCAGACTATGTTGAGTATGAGAATGGTTAGAATGATGTGACGATGACTGATGAGGATGATATGGTTGTTGCCCATCGTTCGATGAGACAGTAGAAGAAACTGATTCTTTACGATGTAAAGCAGAATTATTAACCGGTACCGAAGGTTGCTGATGAGAAACAGCCATAGACTGCTGTTGATGCATATTAATAGGTTGATTACGAACTCCCACATTCGATGGATGTCCTGATTGCCCGACATTTCTGACATTATTTGAATCTTGAGGATTAAGTAGCGGTGGAGCAGAATGTGTACGAGCTATCTCGTTCGCACGCGTAGCTATTGGTTTATGAGCACCATTATTATTATTATTACTACTATTATTATTATTATTATTATTATTATTATTATTATTATTACTATTATTATTGACTTCTGGACCAGAAGTATCAACATTAGTTGGTTGTGTAGTAGCAACAGTTGTCACCTATAATAATAAATTGCAAAAATTTAATGATCAATATATTTCAGAAATTTGATACAAAATACTTACCGTTCCGAAGGTCGGACCTCCTTTCGTTGGTAAATCATTAGGAACTCCTCCACCACTTGTAATCGTTGGTCCAGTTGGAGGCGACATTTGTATTTGTGCGTTTGGTATATTTACTGTTCCGAATCCAAAAGAATTCGCTATGAATAAAAAAAAGTAAATTTATTAAAGAAAGTCATAACATAATAATAAATAAAATGTCATACATATTTATTTATTTATAACGAAACTGTTGATAGCAATTCATAAAGAAAATTAGTTTATAAAAAAAAAATCCTAGAATAAAATGTATTATAATTACGTGCTGTTTCCCAAGCATGACCTTTCGTTGGAAGTTGTACTGCGTTCTTGTGCTTGATCGAACGGCCAGTATTACCATTTCCCATATTTGAAATATGCTGAGCCTGTGGCTTCGTTTGTGAGGTATTGTTAGGCTTTCCGTTAGCGGATGAAGAAAAATTCGTGGATGTAGAAGATCCTGAAGATTGATTTTGTTGAGACACCTGTTGGTGGTGTTGGTTTGGATGGTGAGGATTATTAGTATGAGAAGCTGTTTTTTGTTTTGGCTGCGCTGCAGCTTGGGCGTAATTTTTTTGACTATTTGAGTTCGGTGTTCGGTTCATTTTGGCGACTAAAACATGTCAAGATTCGTCGTTACAATTATTAAAGTTAAATAGCTGTATACCGTTCAGCGGTGCACGGCTCTTATGAATATTAAGTATTGAGAAAAAGGAAAAAAAAAAATTACGAAATGAAAGATACTGAAGATTTTTTTTTTTTTTTGCGATAAAATCCGATATATAAATATTATAATATTAAACCCTTTTCGTCATCAATGGATTGTTCATCAAATACATTACTGCGGTTCATAATATTGTCTTTAATAATAGTTCGCTCATGATCTAATGAATTATGGTATGCCCTAAGGAGGAAAGGAAACAACAATTACATAATGTGTCCTTAATCATTTAGTTGTCACGTCTCACGGTGAAAGCTTTAATCCTTTAAACTTATTGTCTCCGAAAACCTCTGCTGCATTATTTTATTATTTTATTTTTTGAATAATGCATTTATGTTTAATATTACTGATAATAAAATTAGAGCGCGTTAGCCTTTTATCACGTGACGAAATTTGTGGCGTTTTTATGACGATCATGAATAACATTTTATAAATGGCAAAGGATTTTTTTAAGTAATTTTGAAGGAAAGGTATATATAATTGAATGAATTAAAAAAATAATCTTAAAAAGAAGCTATTTAAAGTATATATAAATAATTAAATTATATATAATATTAATTATATAAATTGGTTAATAGAAAAGGAAAAGTCCAAAATTTATGTTAATTTTAATTATTAAGCTAATTTATGCATATAATTGAAATCAATCATGTGATTCAAAAGTATTAATTTTAACCAAAATTTGGATTTTCTTTTTTTTTACTAACTGATTCCTATATTAATAAATAATTAATTTTATAATATAAAAGATATTAAATCGTATTAAATTAATATTGATCTTATTAATATTTAAGGATCAATAAAAAAAGATTTAGATAGGTTCTTCAATCATAGAAAAATTTATTATAATATTCTTTTATTAATATTTCTTACTTATTTATTATATTAAATTATATAAATTTTTATTTTTTTATTATAAATATACAGTCAAACCTCCATGTAATCACACTCTATATAGTCACACCTTTTTATAAGCACCTATTTTTATGGAACGGATTTTATTACTATTAAATTACCTCTATATAAGCTATAATCACTATCACACAAAAATTCCTAATATACAAATCATTTTTATTAATAATTAAACCTCTAATAATCACATTTTTTTTATTGATGAACAGTAATCGTCTAGCTGCAGAAAATTATGCAAATTTATGTAATCCATTTTTGAATAAATTTCTGTATTTTTCTCATTTTTTAAAAAATTGACCCAATTTTTTTTAGTTTTTCTCAACAATTTTCATAAAAATGATTCAGGCTTAAGGTTGCTGGACGAAATCAAGAGTTTAGGCAGACGTTTAAATAGTAAAAGTAAAACTTGGTTAAATTATATTAAAACCTTATTAAAAAATTTGCGAAATTTGGAAAAAGGTAAAACTATATCAAAGCTTATAAAAATGGCAAAACTATATCATACAATTAGTAAAAATTTAGCGAAACTAAAGGTTTTACCATTTTGCCAAATCCAAAAGTAGTTTAGACAAGCAACCTTATTTGGGCTTATACGATTATTTTAAATTACTGTTTAGCTTATTTTCTTTAATAAATAAAGAATTTTGATGATATTTTCATATTAAATTATCAAATATTTCTTGAGAAATTTAATTATGATACCATTTAATTCACTATTAATAAATATATTCAATTGAGTTTTTGTTTTTATAACATTCTTTAAAATAGTTTTTTTCAAAGATATATTTATGATGGAATTCTTTTTCAGATCTTTCAGATCATCAATTCATATTATCTGTAACACATTAAATCATAAATTCACAGATTATTGCAAAAAAAAAAAAAATACTTTCTTTTTTTATCAATGTCTTCTAATAGATTCAAACCAAAAAAAAGCACTGTTCAGCCATAAATGATGATATGAGACGTCAAATTTGTAAGTGTTCAGAAGAAAATGCAAACAAGCGGCATATGAACGTCGCAACCCACTTCAATGAAGTATACCCTAGTTTGAATATTGATAGAAGCACAATTTCAAAAATTCTATTAGAAAGTGACAAGTGGAAAGCAATAAATGTTGAAGATTCTGCTCAAACATTTAAACATAAAGAGGTTAAGTTTCCAGTTCTTGAACAAGCAATAAGTCTATGGGTGGAGAATGCAATCGCTGGTGGTGTGATATTGTTAATAAAGAAAAAGGCAAAAGTCTTTGCTAAAGCTTTTAATATTCAAAAAAAAGATTTAAATTTTTTCTAATGGTTGGTTGCAAAAGTTTAAAAGGCGCAATAATATTTGTAAATATCGCATACATGAAGAATCGGGAAGTACGCCTTTAGCATTTCTTCCAGAAAAACGTAGAAGGTTGCAATCAATTTTAAGTCAATACATTCCCGATCGAATTTATAATATCAATGAGACGGTAAGCTTTTCCAATTTTTTCTTATAAAAAAAATTTTATTAAATAAGCGTTAAAAATATCAATATTATTTTACCATTGCTTTCAAAGTTGGGTAAGGATTAGAGGTTAGTTTCATAGAAAATTGGGATACAATAACAATATTTCATGATATCAACATAGATCCAGAGCATTAATTTAGTGAAATAACGTTTTTAGTTATCTTAAACATCAATTTTTAGTACTGATAGACCAAACCTGTGTGCCGTCAAGCAACGCGAGAATACCCTGTATAGTATCGATGCTTTGTCTAATAGAGCACAATAATAACAACACATCAAAAAAACCTGAAGTGATACGAGAGCACTCTATGGCTTAAAGCCAAGCTGTGTTGTTAATAGCTCATTTGCATACAAATATACTAACATTGAATGATTTCTTTGGACTAGTGCAAAATTTTTAATATATCGTTTACTTAAATTTCACATAGTCCGATTGAAAGCAGAATGTGTAACATAAGCGTGATGTGATTTGTGTAACTAGAGAATATGTTTTAATATTTTTTATTCTTTAAACATAGGGTCTTTTTTATCGGATGTCTCCAAGTCAAATGCTTTCAACAAAACAAGTTCCTGGCCAAAAGAAAGATAAAATACGAATTACAGTCCTCCTCGGCATTAATGCAACAGGAACTAATAAGTTAAAACCATGAGTGATTGGCAATTCGAAATGTCTGAAGCCTTAGCAGAATATCCTATATAATATAATAACATGTATATAATTAGCTACTGCTATATAAGAAGTAATATTATTATAACAGACACAATATACTGTATTTACTAGGATTCCTTAAAATCGAATCGAATCAAATATTTAAGCAATTTGATTTGATTTGATTTGATTTGATCAATTCAATTCAATTCAATTCAATCAAATATTTATCAAATCAAATCAAATCAAATCAAATATAAAATTTTTTTAATTTTTATAATGATATATTAAAATAAAGTTATTCTAAAGTTTTAATTAAGAAAATTATTAGTAATTGCA